CAATCTGTAGGTTGGTTGAACCGAGGTCCCAACAGGTAAAACGCCATCAGTGTTCCTGGAGGATCAGGGGCGGACGGGTTTACAAGCGATGTTGCTGGCTAAGTTTGTTGTGCGTATCGCTGCTGGCAGCGGCAACGTTGGACGACACCAGGCTCCCCGCCATCAACTGCCTACCGGTAATGCTACAACATCACCGCCCCAACACATCCTACGCAGTGCATGCAGAACAGTTGGTCGCCAACCCGCTGAGAATCTCCATCAGCACATCATCACATATGTCCGAACGCATATACATAAATTGACGCTGCAGATAGACCCTCTACGACTGCGCCGCTGGAGCAACGAAACACTGTTGCTATTTTCGAGTACGGGTGGATATGCTGCCGGGTTACAGTTGGTAACTAGTTCGGTGCGATTCTCCACCTTTACGACCTCTAAACTTGCTATTTTGGACGATTTCTAGCATTTCTGCCTTTAGCGTAGCTTGGTCGCCAATTTGGACACCTACCGGTAAATAGAGAAACATTACGAGTGCCTGTCGCGTAACCGGTCTGTAGTGGTTTTTGGCCACAACAAATTATCTCATTGCATTTGTAAACCAGACCGGGACTGGCAATTTCGATACACCGGGCAACAGAGCTATCAACATGTAGCATCGGTTATGTAAGTATCATGTATCATGCAGCGCGAGCGATCAGCATTCCTGCAGCGACCCAATAGTATACATGTCCGTCGAGGCATTAACATGCAGTACTTCATTTTGCATCCTATGCGGGAAAAAAATCTGATGATCCCATGACCGTAGTTGGATTTTTTTTTCACGCGGGTAGCAATGCATCCGCCTCTAGCCAAACACTGGTATAGTACATGTTTCATACATTTAGACCATTCGGCCCCATGGCAGATCCCTGGTGCAAGCGCAAGACGCGGCTTTGTCAAGAAGTATGGCGCTGTGCGTATTTTCGCTATTGAGTTTTGGTGTTGATGTATGGATAATGCAGTGGGTTTACATGCAACTGGAACGATCGGAATGATACTCTAGCATGGATTGCAGATCCGGATATTCCGGACGATACCTCTGAGAGGACACCTAGATGCTGGTTGTAGTGCAGAGTATTCATTTTACATGCTGGGTACGCTCACATTGGAACAGAAGGTTCCAAGAGCCCAGAATTTGTAAAGCCGGTAAGGTTCTAACTCATACGAGTCTCTTATACAGATACTATCAAAATTTCCAATATAGTTCAGACTGATACGTACTCTTCTCGTCTACGCTCGGTATTGCCGATTGCTGGAGCCCTGCACCACACTGAGAAGATGCAACACAGTGTTACTTGCATGTAGTCCGGCTCGTATCACACTGTGCCACGTACGCCATCCAGTTGCCCAATACCTTGCTAACTGTGCTAGTGAATGCATCTTGCGCACATTACGGAGACCTCAGGTGTGATGCTTCACACTGTTCTCCACCTTGACTTGTGTTGAATCTATCCGCCAGACCAAGAATACCACCAGTGCTCAAGAGATGGAACACTTTGTTTTTATTAAGAGTGGTGATTCTGGTCTCCTTTATGCAGTATTTCTACCGCCTTGATGCGGCTGGGTGAGAAGAAATGCACCAGTATATGTACTCGCACAAGCTTGGGACTAAAAAATCGGATCAAAATGCTCCCTTCCCTTCTAAA